TACTCTCCTTCACTTCGTCTACGTCTCAGCTTAGAGAGTGGGGGACTCCTGATGGAGTATATGGGTCCGAGCCCTCGGACCCACATACTCAGAAGAACAGAAAGCACAAGACACTGAGTGGCGCCCTCGTCGGCCAGGGGACCCCCGTCGGCCGAAAAGGTGCCAACTCAGAATATGGTCCTGAGTCCAAGGAACCCGGGTGCCCTCGTCGGCCGCGCCCTCGTCGTCCACGCCCTCGTCGGCCACGAAGACCTCAAAGAACCGGATTTTACACTTACTCATTTGTACAGCCCATTAGTGGCTTTGTATTCGGCCCAGTAGCGGTCCAGTTGTAAATGGGCCTCCCAAGCCCAAGGCTTGGGAGCCCTGCCCGTATTTTCTCTATAAATACTCCCCTTGGGAGTAGTTATAGGGGTTACAAATTCATTCTATTGAAGCATATTATTGCACTTCTCTCTCTAGCTCTCACTTCTCTCTAGATATACTCTATCAGCAAGTGTGTGCAGTTTATCTTCCTACCACGGATAAGCTTTTGATTCAGATGGTGCTTTGTCTGTCAATATGCCCGGTGTGCTCACAGGAAGATGATACCCTTTTATATATTTTCGGATCATGTCACTAAGCATTACAGGTTTGGAGCTTCTCACAGTGGCATATCCCGGTTAGTGTAGAAACATCTTTTCCTGAATGGGTTGAGAATGTTTTTCGCACCAGAGATGTAGAAAGATGTAGTTTATTTGTCATGCTTCTGTGGAGCATTTGGAAGGCTAGAAATGTCAAAGTCTGGGAGCAGAAGGAGGTGACAGTGGAAGGTGTTGTTTATGAAGCCAGGGATTTATTGGAAGGATGGCGTAGAGCCCAGGAGGGAGTTTTGCAGACAAGTCAACAACATGGAGGTGTGGCGACGACAACCCAGGTAAGTTGATGTCCTCCTCCTCCTCCTCCTCCTCCTCCTCCTTTCTTATTCTTCCCTAATCAATTGAAAACTAAAACCTCTTTGAAACTATGTATCAGATCTTTTCTTGGTTTCTTCACTCTGTTCTCTTTCAATTTTTCTTTAATGTTTGTTCTTTTGACTTTATTTATCTATTAAAATATAGATTATTATTTTTACCCTGATTTATGTAAATATTTTTGTAAATTTTCAATTTTTTTTTGTTTTGAATCTAAAATTGCCATAATTTTGTCAATTTTTTATATATTTCGATATTTTTATATTTAATTTGATTTTCATTGGCTTATTTTTTATTATATTTGAATTTAAAAATGGAAAAATTATAATTATTTTCCCCACTAAAAAACAAATATTGGAAAATTGACTTTAGAAAAATCCCCTTTTAATGAGAGTACATTTATATTTGTGTTGCTTTAAATATGAAACTTTCACTTAGAGATTGTCATTTTTATGGCATTAATGTTATAAAGATGGCTATACAATTCTTTCGAAAAGACATTGGTGCCATGTCTTTAATATGAAAATGCTATCTTATATATATCAGGATGACAATAATGTCATTAAGATGACATTTGAACTGCAAGATGACACTTGAGTGATATCATACCAGATCTGAATTCAGATCTGAGATCTACATGGGTTGGCTCAATGGAGATGGTGGTGGCATCGGAGTTCACACTGTTCACGCAGATGTGGCACACAGGTGTTGGACGAGGCATTGATATTGTCGGATGTGGCGGCGATGACGCCGGAGAGGCTAGCATCAATGTGGTGGCAGTGGCGCTTATGCCGGCAGCACCGACGATGATGATGGTGGTGGTGACAGCGGCGGAGCCGACGCTGGTGGTGGCGGTGGAGGTGATATCAGATCAGAGATGTTTGTAATCCTATGCCTAATTTGATGGGCTTCTTAATTTATTTTATTTTATTTTATTTTGTATTATTAATAAGTGCACTCATTTGTTCATTAAGGGTATTGTTGTCAACTCATCTATTTTAAGTTCTACGAAAGTAAAAAAAATAAAGAGGTGTCCCATTGTTGCACTTTTAACAACTTTTGATCCTACGTAGAGAATTCTCTAATAATTAACTAGTTTCCTTTCAAAAAAAAGGTAAATAGTGCTCCTCGTTGGATTAATTCTGGAGGGATAACTGTATAAGTTTTGCGATGCTAATCACTTTACACGTACTTGAATCACTCCCTCCGTTCCAAATAGAACTTGACGTTTGTTTTTGACACAGTATTTTAGGAGCTCAATTAATAGAAGAACAAATGTCTTGCATGTCATTTGACTTTTGGGAGGATTTAATGTTATCCATTCAAATGTAAAAAGTGGATGAGCAGTGAAAGGTAGTTAGGACATTTAATGTAAAAGGAGTTGCTTAAAAAAGAAACGTAAAGAAGTAAATGAGACGTCCCAAAAAGGAAAATGTAAAGATTTAAATGAGATTAGGTTTGAACAGCTAATTAAAGCCACTTTCATCTAATTTTTATAGCAGTGAAAAATACTTTATCAGCCGACAATAATTTATAAGGAAAAGCAAAGTCCAAAAGTTTAAAATACATGCCACAAAAAACACCAAATAATCAAACACGTATAGATTTCTTGTCTGCACTTTGTTCCTTAACGAAAAATGATTAGTGAATAAATTAAAATGTATGACAGTGTACTCCGTAATAAAGTGTCGCATAAAAAGGTGAGCTTTCATGCCGGTTTTATAAGTACTCGTATTTTCTTGCACAGATTATTAAAATTTCTGAACTTTTAAAAAAGAGTTCGATAAAATGGCTTTTAGCTTAAAATTACTAGAAGAAATTGTTATTCATATAAAGCAATTTCTGAATATCCGAGTCTCCCCAACATATATATATAATGGTAATTCCATTTTGAAACCCTCAATGGGGTGAATTTATTACTTGAAACCATCCAACAATAGAGGGAGAACTATCAAATAAGTCCTTCAACTTTCATAAAAAGTGCAAATAAGCTTTTTTACGGGAGACTTTATCCGGATGTCACCATTTGGGACGGTTTCCAGTGGAATTTTTTAATGAATTTTTTTGAACATCTTCTTCATTAAGTCTAGTTTATCCGTGCCAAATTTGAACTAAAAATTCAATCGTGAAGGCAGTCAAATGATTTTCTGAAATATACTGCGTTGTCTAACTAAGCAGTTATATTCAAAAATTCATTTGACTGTCTTCCCGATTAAATTTTTAGCTGAAATTTGGTACGAGTAACTAGACTTAATGAAGAAAATGTTCAAAAAAATTCATCAAAACAATCCACCGAAAACCGCTCCAAATGATCAACTAGCTCGAAAACTATTCAGAAACTATTCGATCTCATGAGGTAACAAAAAATGAAATTATCATTTAACTCGTTCAAAAATGTGACTTCTTTAATAGTTTAGGTTCATTATGTTTGCAAAAAAAAGGTTAAACAAGATATTTTCCTCATCCTTATCCTACCTCCTTCAAGCATGGTACGGAGTATGAGTTTGTAGATGGGATCTCTGCAAAAATATTTGTACCTATCTAATACACCCAGGGGTGGAGCCAAGGGTGGGTCAGGGTGGTCATCCGACTCATCTTAAAATTTGAGAGTATAGAGTTTTGAAATATATTCGATTTGATATACTATAGTCTCCGTAACTCATTACGAAAAAAAGTTATGACTTCTGGAAAATTAGAACTATCTAAACATAAAATCAACAAATTTTGATTCATACTATAGATTATTTTCCAAATTTTTAAAATAGAGTACAATTCACTCAATACTTACGTGACACGACTCAAAAACAGAACAAAAACAATACTCTCTCCGTCCCACTGGACTTTGTCATCTTTCCTTTTTTGGTTGTCCCAAAAAACTTTGTCACTTTCCTATTAAAGTAACTATTTTGTGGTTCTACTCATTTCTCTCTTCTCTGAACAAACTTGAATCATATAATTTTTACTATTCTTATTTCTCACTTAACTTGAGGAGTGCAAAGTCCATTGGGACGGAGGTAATATATCTTATTGTTATGAGTGTCTATTTATCTAAACTGAATATGAATATTCAATTCGGACATTGTTTAAAAACAATCCACCGTTTTCATTCTGTATATGGGCTGAGTTTCGACCCGTTTTTCTGGCTCCGCCACTACATACAACCCATATGTAAATATATAAAAATCTCTTCTGTGAATAGTTTGGTCATGGAAAAGATATACTACCTCCATTCCTATTATAACTTCCAAATAGTGGGTATTGTGTGGTGGAGAGTTGTGCAGAGGAGCGAGAAATGTGTAAGAAATGTTGTGAACCACAAATTCTTTACCAAAAAATGAAAGTAGAAGTTTTAAATGGAACAGACGAAAAAGAAAAGTTGAAAGTTACAATAGAAACGGAGGGAGTACTACTTATTTAATCTGTGGGCAGCCCTATTTACTGATAACAATCATGGATGTATACAAGAATAGAACGGATAAAAATCACAAGTAACTCACGATCTAGTCTCGCAAGCAGTAGACTTGGAGTAACCTTTCGATGTTATGGATCAGAGACTCTTTGTGCCCACGGGCATTAGCCTAGTCTATGTTCTCAACTGAGTCACAATGGTTCACCCTCTCCGTCCCTTAAAACTTTTTCATACGTAGTATTTCTTTTTTGCGATGTCCCAAAAAATTATCTTTTTCCGTTTTAATTAATTATTTGGTTGTTTCTGTTAATTCTCTCTCATCTACACAAACCTCAACTAAATACTTTATACAGAGTAATTTATTATTCTCCGTGTCAGTCAAACTTGATAAAGTTTTGATAGAGGAAGGTAGTAAGCTAATTTGGGGCCGAGGTTTGAGGGCTCTTGGGATTATGTATTCAACCTTTTAGAATTAGCTAAAAAAAACCATAAGCATCCGAAAAATGATCAAGTCCAAATAAAACCGGTATACCAGTTTCCTGACTGTTTCCACTACGCTCAAATCGAGTCAGTATACGTATACTAACTCACACTACTTTTTACTTTACACTAGTCCTACTCTACAGTCTCACTGTTCTGTTCTTTTCTCAGCCCCTCAGCCCCACCCCACCCCCACTTTTGATTATATATACACACATCTGGGTTTAAAGGGAGATGTTTCAAGAGAGCTGGTACGGTGTCGTTCCATTCAAGATGTCAACTTGATAGATTACTCATTGATGTTTCCATCTATACATGTGTGAAATTAATTCTTTATCCACTTATTATAGTATGCACCAACACCCTTCTTTGTCCATGATTCCTAAGAAAGCTGGGTTTTTACATTCTTCTGCGGCCGGAAAAACTCCGGGAGAGTTACCGGAACGCTTTGTTCCTGTCAAGAAACACGGTCAAGGCAGCAACAGGGGACGTGGCTCGATGGAGGGCTCTTGCCGGAAAATCGTTCGGATTGTTGTCGCCGATGGTGATGCCACGGATTCCTCCGGCGATGAAGGTGCAAGTGTTGGGAGGAAAGTGAAGAGATATGTTCGGGAGATAAACCTCGTACCGCCGGAAAAGTTCACCGGAAAAGAGGCTACTCCGGTTCAGGCTAAGAAGAGGAGAAGTTCGAATAGGCGGTTTTCTGCGGCATCTGACGGCAGCAGGAAGAAATTTAGAGGCGTGCGTCAGCGGCCATGGGGGCGGTGGGCGGCGGAGATTCGGGACCCGACCCGGGGAAAACGCCTCTGGCTCGGAACATTTGACACGCCGGAAGAAGCTGCCGCCGTGTACGACAGGGCGGCGGTGATGCTGAAAGGATCTGCCGCCGTCACGAACTTCCCCACAGCCGTTAACGTTTTACCCGGCACTGGCGCCACAACAAACGACGTCGCCGCTCCTCTTACGCCGTCTGTTTTCCGGCAACCCTTGTCTACGCCGTCTCCTGGACCATCGAGTGCAGACGTCAGCTTAACGGAGAGTGACGCGAGCAAACACGACGATCCTTTGTCCCCCAGATCAGTCCTCCGTCTCGACGATTTCATGGCGTTCGATAACGGTCCGCTTGTTGACTTCGATTCCTTTGAATTCGGATTTGACTTTTCTTTCGGTTCGCTAGGTTTCGGATTATCCGAGAAACACGTCGCCGAGGAATTCGGGGAATTCGACTTTGACGACTTTGCCCTCCCACCTTGCAGTCACTTAAGCGGCACCGTGGACGCGAGGGTTCCACTATTTTGAAAAAAAGTCGAGGGCATATTCGTAACTGCAAAGTCTTTTTCGCGGGAAACACGACTGATTTGGCGGGAAGTATGCGGCGTGTAAAGTTGTGAGTAATTATGTGGTACAGCGAGTAGGTGGAAATGAAATTTTGTGAGAGATATTTTTAGAATCCTTAATTTAAATATTACCGAGTGTATCTTATTTTTAGCCACATATATATATTCTGTTTTGTGCTATATTTAATTTAATTATATAAAAATTGCGAAGAAATACTTCCTCCGTTTCATTGAACTTTTCAAACTTTTCATTTTTAGTTATATAAAAAAACTTTGTCATTTTTCCATTAAAGTCACTGTATTGTGGTTCCGGTCATTTTTCTTTCTTCTCCACAAATTTCAACTACACAATTTTTACTATTTTTATTTCTCACTTAATTCAAACAGTGTAAAGTCTAAAGGGCTGAGGTAGTACTCCCTCCGTCCCTAAAAGGATTGTTAAGTTTGACCGGCACGTAGAATAATAAAGTAAAAACTGTGTGGTGGAGATTTGATTAACAGAGGGAGAAATAACAGATGCCACAAATTGATTGATTAAAAGGGAAAGTGGCAAAGTTTTTGAGATAAGCAAAAAAGGAAAGTTGACAAAATTATAAGGGACGGAGGGAGTATACAGAAAGCATATAAAAGGTGGGGTATGTGTTAATTGTGACGCTTTCCGGAAGGGGATGATTTATTGGCTATCACGCTTGGCGTTGAAAAGTTGAGGTTTTTTTTTATATATCTGTGATATCAATGTCTAATTACTATTTTGAGGTAATAAACGAGTGACTACGGTATATGGTACCTTAAATTAGTGGTTGGCTTCTTTTTTTGTTTTTATTGTTTTTGGAGGCCAGTTTTGTACTTCGTGTGGAATGACAATCACTAGGAAATTTATGATTCAAATTCAATTTTTAATGGGTTGTGCCCGTGAGGTCACAACTCAGCAATTTGAATGAAAATGAGTACAAATTTTATGCTTTAAAAGGTAGGAGAAAATGTTTTTCAAAAATGTAAATAGATGAGGTAGATAAGGTTAACATGTTGTCACTTTGATTTATATACACAATATTAAAACACACATAATGTCATTCCTTTAATTATTTGACTTTTTCAAATTAGAACAAATTTTAAAGGATAAAATTAGATCAGAACAAATAATATTAGAAAAATTCGTCTTGAGACCATATTTCATTTGTTTTCCTTTCATATATTCACAATTGATGATGGGGTTTGAATTAGCCTGATTTGACTAATGTTTTATCATTCGAGAGACGAGTTTATTTTGAATCAAATAAACGTTTCATTGGCTTTTTTGCATTCATGACATAATAGTTTAAAACTCCAAAATAAAATATAGATAATTCTGTTGGCAGCCACTTATTTGTTAATTACAACCACATATTTTCAATAGTTCGTATTATATCCTTAATGCAGTAATCATCAGTCGAACACAGCCTACCCGGAATTCTAGTCTCATAAAATACGGTCCTCTCACCATGGTCTATAGCGAAATTTGGATTATCAACTGCCCAACTCTTGAGAAATAGAAAGAAGAATTGAAATTACTTGCAAATTGCAATACCTTTCTTAACTTGAATGGATTTCCTAAGCTTATGGATATGTACATAGTTGACAAAATCAAAGGTTGGAGAAGCTCATTGCAATTGTCGTCAACTCTACTTCACCTTCCTCTTATCATACACCATTTTGCATATCATTTCTAGAATTTGCACAGTTAACTTAACTTATCATTAAAATTATTTTTAGTCTTCATCGAATCTGAGCTTTTTAGCGGTTGCAGGTTGATTCAGCAGGAAGTGTAATGAATGGTGAGGGCAGTTCGTTGACGTCGTTAGTGGCGGCAAACAACAACGCGGCGACGGATTCTAATTGCAGAATTTTTGGAAAATACGAGCTTGGGAAGTTTCTTGGTTGTGGGGTTTTTGCGAAGCTGCTTTGAAGTCCTTGCTACGAAGAAGGTAGAAGATCTATTTACCAGGGAGGCTGCGGGCTGCGGATTATTGTTTTAAGGATTTACGAGGAATTTTTAAAAATATATGGATGCACCTAGTAAATAAATGGTAGTGAATAGAATTTCCCAAAAAATATTTGTGATTTGTTTGATAGAGTTGCTTTCTTGGTGTTGGGTGTGTCTCGAAAAAACGAAGAAATATTAATTAAATAAAATTAATTAATAGCCAAAGAAAAACAGAAAAAGAGATGAGACAGAGTTTAGCCAGAGCTCGTGCTACGCACGATGTCCTTAAAACGTATTTGTCGCCTTCCACAGTGCTAGGAGCGTTGCAACAACCATTTCTCAGGATACAGTGGGTAACGAACTAAAGTTTGAGCACACAAACGAGAGTTCCAGTGAACGGGAACAAAGGAGAAACACTGAGGAATTTTTTGGAGAACTGCGGGTGTTTTTCAGATCTAAAACGTGTGCATGGTTGCTTGTGAACGTGTAAAACCGTGTGTTTGTTACAAAGCACCTACCAGCTCTTTGTAGGAGGATTTGTTGTGTGTTAAATGTAGTGTTAATGGACCTGGACGTTGGACATCAATGACCAGTCCGTTGGGCATTGAATCGTCCATAAACTGTCCATTTAACGCAGTATTAAAAGAGAAGAACGTTGTGCATTTATTGCTGTAACGGACCAGAAGACCTCGAGCCCTTTTGTTGCGACCAGAATACCTCAAGCGTTCTGTTGCGACCAGAAGACCTCGAGGGTTCCTGTTGAACCCTTCTGTTGCAGACAGAATATCTCGAGGGTTTCTGTTGAACCGAACAGAAGCGAAGTGGTTCTGTTGAGAAAAGAACCCTCTTCCGCAGGTCGCCCGCGCACACAAGTCGCAGTTTTTCTTCCCCGTTTTCGAGATTTGATCGGCACCCTTCTGCGCGCAAGAGAGAGCCTTTATCTTTAGGAATCTTAACTCCTTAAAAGAGGATTCCCTTTATAAGGAGGGTGAAAATCCCTTGAGTTTTCCGGTGTGGTATAAAACACACTACAAACCCATCATTTTCCCACTTTTTCTATTTCAACGAGTGAACTTCGAGAATCAATTTCTCATTCACCCATTATCCGTTTTGAGCTTACCATATATCGAATTGTAGCCCTTAACAAGGACAATTCGAAACCACTTTGACCCGACCCAAATCGGAAGTGGACTCCACTCAAATAATTGCCCCAAAATGACCATTTAAAGCAATTTTTAACACATTTTTCCAACAATCCCCCACATGAATGAAAATTGATTTTCGAGACTTAAAAAGACACGAAAATAGGAGGACACGTTGTGTTCACCAGATGATCCTTGCATACGGAGAGGTAGGTTTTATCCTTTGAACCTTCCGCTGTAAAGACACGTTTATTTACTGGCTGTGTAGTAGACTCGATGTCCTTGAACTATACTGTCGCCGTCTAAACATTGACTTATCTTTACACAAGAACCTTCCAACTTTGTTTTGTTCTCATGGGTGTGCCCGTTTTGGCCATAGGTCACCATCCTGGTTCTGTAAGAGTTTCTAAAGAACTGAGCCTTTAGAGTTCTCTTTTGAAGCGGCCCTCTTCTCTTTCACATAGGTGATTGTTTCACGAGTATCCCGCATACTCTTCCAATGTTATCGAGTAGATCAACGTTTTAGAATCATTAAAGCAAATGTTTTTGCTAACCTCATGCGAGAGTCACTGTTTTAACGAGGAGTGCGTAGGAGTCCGGGACCCCCACAGTGACCATCCTTCGCTCTATAATTTAGTTATCCCTTTTAAACCTAGGACCAACTAGGTTGGGTATCCACTATAGAACTTTTCAATTCACGGGCTTTAGTCCCATTCCTCGTGACAACTTCTCCAACAATTTTCTATCCAATGTCTTGGTTAGCGGATCCGCTATGTTATCCTTTGACTTCACATAGTCAACAGTGATAACACCCATTGTGAGGAGTTGTTTAATGGTGTTATGTCTACGACGAACGTGTCTAGACTTACCATTGTACATATTGCTCTGTACCCTTCCAATTGTCGCTTGACAATCGTAATGTATGCATATTGGAGGGACATGCTTTTCCCAACTTGGAATATCCTCGAGAAAATGACGTAGCCATTCACCCTCTTCAGTGCACTTATTCAAAGCTATTAGCTCAGACTTCATCGTGGATCTAGCTATTAACGTTTGTTTTGAGGATTTCCATGACACGGCTGCACCTCCCAAAGTGAAAACATATCCACTTGTGGACTTTGAGTCCTTAATGTCGGATATCCAACTAGCGTCCCTATACCCTTCAAGTACAGCTGGATATCTTCCATAGTACAGTCCAAGGTTTTGGGCTTTACGTAAATACCTCAAAACCCTTACTATTGCCTTCGAGTGTTCATCACTAGGGTTACTAGTATATCTACTTAACTTGTTAACCACAAAGACAATATCAGGTATGGTACAACTCATTAGATACATCAAACTTCCAATAATCCTAGCGTATTATACTTGAGAAATACACTCTCCACGATTTTTGGTAAGATGTACGTTTTTATCTAATGGAGTCCTTGCCTCTTGATAATCATCCTTATTAAATTTCGTAAGGATTTTATCAACGCAAAGGGATTGGCATAACGTAAGACCGTCTGGTCCCCTAATAATTATTTTAATCCCAAAGATTAAACCGGCCAACCTCATATCCTTCATGTCAAATTTAGAATTTAACATGGTTTTGGTAGAATTAATCATTAGATTATTGCTACCCACGATGAGTATATCATCCACGTATAAACATAAAATGACATAGCCGTCTACCGTGCTCTTCACATAGACGCATCTGTCACTTTCGTTTATTTCAAAACCATTAATTAACATTGCATGATCGAACTTTTCATGCCACTGTTTAGGGGCTTATTTCAATCCATACAATGATTTAATTAATTTACACACTTTCCTTTATTGGAAAGGAACACGAAATCCCTCAGACTGTTCCATATAGATTTCTTCGTCTATATCGCCATTTAGAAAAGCGGTTTTTACGTCCATTTGATGAACTTCCAATTTCCGCAATGCGGCAATTGCTAGTATCATCCTAATGGAATTTATTCTTGTCACAGGAGAATACGTGTCAAAGTAATCATGGCTCTCACGTTGCTTGTATCCTTTGATTACAAGTCTGGCCTTGTACTTATCGATGGAACCGTCAGGTTTCATTTTTCATTTAATAATCCACTTGGATCCCAAAGGTTTATTTCCCGGAGGAA